TGCTATACCTGCAGAATATTTGTATACCAGTGATGTCCTCAGTAGTAGCAGCAGCTTTGAACTTCATGGCATACAGGTCAGACACCTGTACAGTGCAGCCTTGAGCAGTCAGAGCTGCCACAGCAGCATCTTTGGCAGCAGCATTGAAGGAGGTAGAGCTCTCATGGGCATACACAATCAGCACTTTCTTGGCTGCAAAGCCAAAGAATAAAACAAAACAAAACATAAAGTTCCATTCAGCACAGAAACCTTTCACTCTTCTTGTCAAAGACTATCAGCTTTGGCCAAACAACTTTAAGCAATTACCAGGAAGAAAGTCTTACCCATTCTCAAAACTGCTGCGCAACAGTAAATGATGAGTTTTCTGTCTAACTGGTACAACAACAGAAAAAGTGCCCATACTGAAGCAAAACACAGCCTGCTGCTTTTATACACACTTCGAGCACTATTTCACACAGGTGCTGTCAATCAGCAATAAACCTCATGCGACAGCCAGCTGGTACTGGGGTAATATCTCTCAGACCGGTTGGTGGCAGTAATGCACCCATTTTGCTGTTTGCCAATCAATCAATACTTTATTTATATAGCACATTTAAAACCAGAGGTACACCAAAGTGCTTCTCAATAGTAAAATATGAAATAAAATTAAATACATATGGGTACAATAATAGAGTAGAAATACATTTCCAGACATAACAAAGCACTAATTAACCTGTGAGTACTATGTTAAAAGAAATATTTCACACCTAGTGTTAAAGTTAGGTAAAATCAACACAGAAATATCAACTGGAAAAACCCAGTAACACAATAGGTTAAAATTACATACAAATGCAATAAAAGTACAAAGTGTACATCCGATAACTCACTAACTAATCTGAAATGCAAGATCAAATAAATAAGATTTCAATCATGTTTTAAAAGATTAAAACAATTCAGACGCGAGAATTTCAGCTGGAAGATTGTTCCAGAGGTTAGGTGCAGCAATGGCAAAGGCACGATCACCTCTGGTTTTCAGCCGGGACCTAGGTTGCACCAAGAGCATTTGACTCAATGATTGAAGTGCTCTCCTAGGAGTATACTGGCAGAGAAGTCCAGTTAAATAGCAAGGGGCAATATTATTTACGATTTTGAATGTAAGAAATAAAATCTTAAAATCAATCCGATATTTGATGGGCAGCCAATGTAGGTCAGCAAGGATCGGGGTAATAGAATCAAACCTTCTAGTACCAGTTAAAAGGCGTGCCGCTGCATTTTGGACAAGTTGTAGTTTATGAAGAAGGGCAGATTGGAGGCCCAGGTAAAGGGAGTAGTCTAATCTTGAAGTAACAAATGCATGTGTAAGTTTTTCAAGATCCCTTCGTGGTATGTAATGCTTAGCCTTAGAGATTTGTTATATTTGGTAAAGCTAGACTGTACTACAGAAGACACTTGTTTATCAAGTGTAAAGGAGCTGTCCAAAAGAACGCCTAAGTTACGTACTGTATCAGAGAGGGAGGTAGCAAAGGGCCCAAATATATCGGCTAATTGTCCCCGAGGGATGTGGCTATCAAAGACAATAATTTACGTTTTCTTTTCATTTAGAAAAAGGGAGTTATTCGTTAACCACCCTTTGATCTCCCTCATACAATCAAGAAAGCAGCGTAGTGAAGATGGGGTATCGTCAGTCAGACAAAAATAGATTTGAATATCATCAGCATAAAAATGAAAAGAAATGTTACATTTGTGAGATATAGAGCCCAAGGGAAGCATGTACAATGAGAACAACATAGCCAACTGCCAATAAACCCTATAAGAAGTAGAAGAAGAATTTCTCTCAGGTTTCCCATTTTGTATGGAAACTGGTGGAAGTAACTCTTGAGATTAACCTAAACCTTCAGCCCAGTTTAAACATAACATGAATATTTACATCATATAATCACAATCATCTCAGTTTCACACACATCGTTTTCCCATGGTGATTGTTGCCCAACATGGCGAACCAATGATTTGCCTTACGCCCTGCGGTCTGAGAACCTTTGATATAAACTATACATAAGGACATAAAAGGTACACACACACACACAAACAGGCAAAATTCTCTGACTTTGGAAGAACGTGTATATCAAGATGGTTAATAGCTTGGATTGAAAATAAACAGAAACAAAAAATAGCAGAACAAACACAGCGAGGTATAATTCAGGGTTTCTTAATCTTTATTTTGAATGTTGTTCATTTTAAAGATGCTATAAAGTTTGTTGGCGTTTTTTTGTTTCATTAGCTCAAAGTTTATGCTCCAGGTGAGGCTTGAACTCACAACCTCAGCATAGCTCAGCCTAATACTGTCATATAAGTACTGCGCGCTAACCGATTGCACCACATGCACAAAGACGTGGTGTGGAGGTTAGCCAGATAACTCAGAGCCAGTCAGTTAAACAGACCCTTATTTGACATTAGCAACATAAGACCATACAAGCCAGGTCCCACGGCTCTACCCTGTCCGTACATACATGTGCGGGGATCAGTAGTCACGGGCGCCAGCCAAGTTACAACGGTAAGGCTTCTCTGAACAGCAACGCAATCAGCATGTAACGGCCACCACTATACTCCCACACCCACTAGCAGGGATGGGTACCGGTATCCGATGACATGATGGCACTGGTTCTGACATAAACGGTAGTAACCAGACCGAAAAGCAGCGCACATTTCAGTGCTTTATTTCGGTGCTTTTTTTGTCCTGAGATGTCATACACTTTGGATTCTAGATAATCATTTTACCTTTGCAAGCGTACGGTACGTACGTTCTTTTAGAGCAGAGCTACAGATTAAAAATGCCCAAGGCGAAGCGGTCAAAAGTCTGGCTGTAC